ATTTTCCAAAAGAGTGCCGAAGTCTCGTTCGATGGAACATTCAAGGGTTTGGTGTTGGAAGAACGGTTACTGTTTCGTTGGAACTTGTCGGCAATGAATTAATGGAAAATTTGTAATTATAATTTCTTATTAGTGACTGTACGGCATAGGTCCATCAAAGAAATTTCAGTCTGATACTGTTAATGATACGAAGGTTTCTGTAAAAATATCCTAAACATATTTTTCCTATGTTGAAAATGTTTATTTATCGACTAGGTAGTTAATAGATATTTGATTTTGCAAATCTAAGTTGAAAGCGAACTGTAATATTTCTGAAACCGATTAAACCGATGACGAACATTTGTCGCGTTCGTGTGTGTACTTTCATTTATATATGCATTGTTTATAATAGTCTCTATTTCGTTTGTTTCATGATTATGTTTCATTTTGTTAATGATTGTTCGGAAATGGAAATAGTAAGTAATATTCAGACACAATAACAATCCTATTCGAAAATACACGTGTTCGACAAATGTTAAAAAATGATGTTTCCGAAAACGAAGCACTGTATGAAAAAAAAAAACGTTGATCTACACTCACCACTTATTTTTTTTCACAGAGAACAGTCCTCTGTCACGTTGTACAACTAATTCGTTTCATCGTATATGGTATAAAGTGGATTTCGTAAATTACATTTTCCCAAGTTCCCTTTTCATTATTCGACACAGAAATACATGAGACCTACCGCTAGCTACTAAAACGTGCAACCCGTGTATCCGTCAGCGTGCAACTGAAGACACTGTCCCCTTGTCCTCAATATCTCAAAGTGTAACAGTCTCGAAAAGCTAACCTTGTCGCATGAAGTAAACCATTCCATTGCTCATAATACATTTAAAATATTAACTGAAAAGAAGATGAAAATCGTTTCCAATCGATGCATTCGTTTTTATAATATACATAGAAAGAGCAAGTAATGAACAGACTCGTTCGTAGAATTCGATTCGGTAGCGTATATGACCAACAAATCTCCAAAATCATTTTAATCAGAAACAAACTATTATTGGCAAAAATTCGATTCTACAACTGCGGTTTCATTTTTGTTCATAAATAATTACCCGAAAGACTTTAATCGTTACATTTCCGTTTTTCGACGAACGTAATGTAAAAATTGCAATAATGTATTGCACCCTATACTGAACCGGAACACATTCCTTTCTTTTTAATAAAAGACAGAATAACAGTCGATAAAATATAATTCATACTGTATTTCTTACATAGTACAGTTTAAATTGCAAGAAAAGACGAATTTCTTCCGCGCCGGCCGAATGATTTATAAAAGAAGGAAGAAAAAGAGATAGATCTGCCTGCTCGATGGAGATTTTCAGAAATTCATAAATATCAAAATCCGTCATCGCGGATCCGCTACGTCATTCACGGTGAACGGTCGTCCGTATATTCCTCAGAACCCCCTACATTCCTCAGAGGCGCTCGCTGATTGATGCGCGACACATAAGAGTTTCCGCTTCCTCATTAAAAAGTGAACGTACCCACATTTACCTCCGTGTTTCCCGCGCATATTTTTAGGAACCGTCAGGATAATACGGATTTAGAACGGGCGGCCTTTGTACGGGGCGCGTCATTAGTTGTTTGCCGGACTACGGCGCGTGCTACGCCCAATCCACTCGCGACTGTCCCTGGGAGGCATTATTGTTGCCAGAATCCAGAATAGACGTATCTCGCACCGTTCCGTTCCTCGTAACCCCTATCTGTCATACGAAATCTCAACTTTGATCCCCCTTGGTTGACCCCCTTTTAAATCTTGGATGCCGCCATCTTTCACGCGATCACGGTGATTTGTTGGCTCCGAATCGAAAGCCAGTCGAGCTACGTTTCACCGTACTTCTTGCACCCGACAATCATCGTGTTTTATGAATATTAACGACCCGAACCGTTTGTTCTCCATCGATAATCGGATTTTTCCCGTTCAATGCAGAGAAATATATCCTTCGAAACGCACCTCCGGTGCATCCAAACCCTAAATCGATCGGATCCGAAAGAAGATTCAGCTTGAAACATGTTACATTCTATCGATCACAGGGCCCGTCAGGCTGTCTCATCGCGAGTGTTTAGCACTTCATTTATAAAAACGTCCACAAATAAATAGGCATCGTGCAGCCGGTGCGCCTCGTTTGACGCTCGAACACAGACGAAGCTCTATTTTCAGGATCTGTCGGATGATATTCACAGTAGCACGGAATCGAAGTCACCGAAACACGTGTTCGGCTCGATAATGTGTCGTTACGTTCGAACTGTGCCATTAACAACGACATGACAGAAGATATTGAAATTAAATCTGATAATATCCTCTAAAACGTTTTGTAAAAGTAGGAGGCAAAGTATTAAAGTACCCATCGAATTGATTATACATGGGTCTTCTTTTCTGTTTTCTCGCTATTTTACGTGCAGTTCAAAAGCCGCCAGGGGCTAAGAAGCTTTCTCGACTAATGAATTTACGACAGTCGTTGGAAAACGAGAAAAAGATGACGAAAAGGTAAAAGAAGAAGGAAGAAAAAGTGGTTCGCCTAATGATGTCCCGTAACACGTCGGTACTGGCTGACTTTTACGTAACACTTTATGTTTTGCCTAAAAATAACGTCATGCTTTGAACCGCGACCACGAGTAAGCGACGAAATAACGACGATCTATTTTCGTACTCGGTAATGAGAGAATACCGGGGATGCCCCCATCGAGCCTTTCACGGCGACTTATTAACCGATTCCCGTTACTAGATGTAACTTCGATGTTTTCTCTGTCGACGATGCTCGCCCGGTGAATACATTACGGACTCGATGGCCGAGGCTCGTGACACGTACAATCAAACAACCGACGATCCCGTTTCATTTGGCCCGATCCAAGGAAACAACGTTTCCCTCCTCACCCCCGTGGCCCCCGGGATCGTACGGCAAATTTCCGAGAATACGCTCGACCGCGGTTTGCAAGCAATATTTTCCGTTACTTTGCTACACGTTTATTTTTAATCGACCGCCAATATATTCACTTCCGATTTATTCCGTTCGAGTTGTAAAATTTCGTCCGCATCAGAGGGAATCAGCTGGCCGGGCCGGAACGGATTTAACGGAACGGAAAGTGTTCTCATGGACGACAGGCAGGAGTGAGACGTCGACCGTATATTAAATTATACATTTAGAATCCGTGCAAGAAGCAGAACGTTGACCGTGTACCCACCGTCTTCCTTCTTCTCCGTTAGCCCCCATCTGTTCACAGCGGTGATTCGCTCGCTCGGGCTCCTCTCCCTCCTGCTCTTATACCACAACTACTCGAGGCGTTCAGGCGCCGCAACGCGTGGGCGGTTAATGGTTCTTTCCTGCTCCTATTTATGAATAATGCTCCTGGGTACATCTACGTGTGAATCCTAATGCATGAGAATCGCTGATCAACGCTAGGAGACCGTCGGTAGGATATGACGGACGGTTCCGCTCGCTTGGTGGTTATATCAGTCGCTCGTCTAATCCGTGGAGGCTGAGTTGTGGGAAGATAGGGGCGATTCTGGTCACGTAGCGGAGGAGTTGATAAATCCTTTCATTAAATTTCAAATTGGAATTGTTGGACGGGGATTAACTGTTGTGCGCTCTTGAGAAAAATCATCGGGCCAAGCTACGTTCTCGTTCGATTCCTTTCTAACCCATAACACGTCCGGGCGCAAGATTATTGCGGAAAATGTTATGAAGCGTTTAGCAAAAGTGTTGTCGAATTTCTAATGAAAGTTAAGTGAATCTTTCAGGACTTCTCGTTGAAAAACAGATGCTGACTGTTGACGTAGCTAGCTGCAAAGATGGTGTACTATAGCAGAATTACGTTCGAAGCGATGTCAAAGATCTTGCTCTTGGTAACAAGCGGCTGGTTATTTTAAATTTACTACACGTTGGACCACGCGTCGCGAAAAGGAAAATTATGTAACGGGTTGTAGTTTTCCGGAGACGATCAAGACACGCCACCGCACGCGTGTCTGCGCGGACATTAGCGGAACAAAGGCAACGGTAGCTTAATCCGTAACTTTGCCTTGTTCGGCGTGATAATATAAATGATCGTGTCCCAACTGGCGAAATAACAAATTTCACCGACAAGTTTGGTCGTTGGGGGTCGCTGTCGATAGATTGCCTTTGAGTTTGTAGCTGATATCGTATTTGGATATGTGCCAACCACCTATTTTCGATCTTAAGAAAAATTCGTACCTTGAACATTTCCAATAAGAACATTTTGTCACATGAATATTAGTAAATTCGGTCGTATATCGAAACTTGAGACCGAACATAATCATTCTGTATACAATCATTAACTTCTACCACAAAAAAACTTTTTTTTTTAACATATTCCAACAAAAATCCCTGTCAACGTGCTCCGATATAACATATTAGTGAATTTCATTAAAATTTGTATACTTAAAGAATTTTTACGCGAAAGAATCCATCGAAGAGAGCCTGATGACGCGCGTTGCGACAGGAGCTTGGTTTTGGTTCCGGAAGTCAGCTGGAGGCGGATCGAAATGTTCGTTTCTCGTGAATCTGTCGCTGTCGTTGAACAAAGCACAGGGTCCCGATGCGTTGTTCCGAATCTCAACGAGCAGTCGGCTCGACGAATTCGAAGGTTAAATCAAAAAAACTGCGACGACAGCCACAGGAGGCTGTGCGGCCGTCGCCGGGACCACTGGCTTCCGGCCAGAGTTTTCCCTCGTTCGGTGTCTCGCCGCCAGGTAGCGACGCCTACGGACTATTTAAAGGAATTTCGGCGACGTTCGTCGCTTCGTTTCGTTCAGCAGCGCAGGCGTTGCCCTTTGAATGTTTGTTTGTTTGTTTTCGCCCTCCACCCTTCATGTAAAGAGTAAATACGTAAGCACGCGTTTTGAGCGATGCTCACGGAGGAGTAGCCGATTCGGAATTCCCTCTAGACTCAGTTACACAGTGTGACAACATATATATACATATATATATATATATATATAAGCCAGTTTTTTCCTAAACCGAAACAATCGATAAAAACGGGCCGCCGGTGAATACGAAGCATTGGTAAGTCTGCTCGCTGCGCCCAGCGCCGGTGACACCGCCGAGTTAGTGTTTTGTGATGCTACATACGACACAGTGTGAACTAATGGGACGATAGAAAACAGCGGGGAGCAAAAAAAAAGGAATACGAGTACACCGGCAAGTGATGTGTGACAAAATTAAAAAGGGACTAGCCGCACCGTGGACTCTTGTGGAATTGTTACGAAATCGTGAAAAATCCTACGAGCCCGACTAAATGTCGTCTTTTATCCCCGACCGATATTACATGTGCGTCACTCTGATCAACAGTTTCGATCTTAAGTTCGGTGTCCAGTGATCTCTCTTATCGTTTCTTTTTTTTTTTCTTACTTTAAAGGTCAGTTCAAAGGCATCGATCTGAGAATAGAAAATTCGGCGTCGATAGACAGTCATTCGAATGTATAGTTTATTCCATTGTAATCGGCGGGAAAATATATCTAGAGGATTGTTTCCGATCTTTCAGTTTTTCAAAAGTTGAATTCTTTCGTATGGCAATTTTTAGAGAGATCCGGTACGTTTAAGAAGCTTCGTAACCAAGAAAGAGGTTTAGCTACATTGTGTGAAGTATCGGTAACAGCGAAACTATAATATCTTCATTGTAGAAAATTCTAAATTATCTAGAAATTCAGTGATGCATTTGCAAACGTTGTTCGGTACCGTTGATTTCTTCCTAGATTAGTGTAGCATATCTAAACCTCCAGACTAACTAATCTATTGCTTCATCGGACATGTACGATGTGAGGCTCACGTTACATACAAACACGACCTCTACTTGTTTGCCAACAAACGTACTACATTTCCTATCTTTATAGCCCGTCCACCATGTTGCATCTCATCTTCAAATAGAAACCGTTCCGCCGCGCCGCAACGATTCGAATATTATATCACCGTTAGTCGGTTACCTAACAATATTTCGGCATTACTGTTCCATTCCATTTAATTGAAATGATTCATTTCGCTTAATCTTATACCATTGCCATCGCTGACTTCCTATCCTAGCGGGTAGTCACATTAATAAACCAACGGAAAATAAATGGATATTCAAAACAAAACAAAAAAAAAAAATAAATAAATGGAACAAAAGTGACGATATTATTGAGGTGACGGTAAAAATCAAACGTGCGGCGCGTGAAACCTAGAAGTAGACACGCAGAACGGGAAAAATAAATGCTAACCCCAGAAAATTGCGTATAGTTGGTCAAAACAGGGAGAAGGATCAGGATAAAGATAAGGAGGGACAGTTGAAGAAGCAAAATAGGTATACGCAGCCCCAGGGCCAGTCCGATCGAGGGAACGAGAGGGAGGAAGGGAAATCAGAGTGCCTCCTGGCCATCTCTGCCAAAATAATTAGGAAGTCGTCAGAGACGTGCTAAAATCGTCCGCTGGGGCACGCGCGATTTGGCCGGCTAGTCGCGTCCCGGGCGTTCGAGCGAGCTGGTCAACCGGACAGGTTTCGGACCGGTTCCTAACTGCACCTGCGCCATTCCCGTGCGACCAATCGCATTGCCGCAGTCGTCTGGCCTTTTCGCGCGTGCTTTATTCAAAGTCTGGCTAACCGTATGCTATGATCGTTTGCATATTTTCATTTGTGCAACGGGACAGCTACCTACGATAGCGTTGACAGGGTTAGTTGGCGGGAGTTTTTAATATTCCTTGTTTGAATGCGCTTCAAATGAATAGTAGTAAGAAGTAAAGACTGTTTGGGAACGATTGATCGAGCGTGACTTTACACTCAAGTGTCGTCCTATTGGAAACTTTGTGGGGCGAATTTTCTTCATCCAATTGATTCGGGTCGGAACGAAAGATTGTTCCTGGAATTGTTGGATAGGGTACTAATATGGCGAGTTCTTTATACGCAGTTGTCACTTGTGACCGATTTTCGTGACCGTAACCCCGATCGGCTATACCATCCTTCCATTGACGTTAGTTTAGTGCTAACCTTGTCTTCGACGTTTACTGTGCACGACCTTTGGACTTGATTCGAATTTGAAGTTCGGTGCACGTCGACCTTGAACCTGTAACTGCCGATCGAAAGTGGAATTTTCGATCGTACAATGAATTTTATTTGTGCTTACGTACTAACATTTTAAAACTCTTTGCGTGCTGTGACTGTATTTATGCGTCATCAAATGTTGGAGAAGGTTCTGTAAAATTGTTGTCGAGTGACAAAAATTTTACTGACGTTAGTTACAGTTCCAAAAATAAATCAATGTTAAAGATTCTAATGAATAAATGAGTTTTTTTTTAAGTGTTTGTCTGGATTCTTGCTTGACACAAAATATAACGTTCCTGTTACGTTTTCACGAGCTCTAATCAGTTTAATGTTATATACGGATATACGTTTTAACTGAACATAACCTGACGTCATATCATGTATTTTGAAATTATGACAATATATGGATATTAGTTATTATACATTTTACCATTGTTATATTGATTCTTGTAATTTTGTATTAAGGCTAAGAAAGAAAAAATTTAGTTTAAAAATATGCCTGCCGATAATGGTGTCAGTATAAGGAAGACGAAAACGACGGAGGATTAGGATACAAATCCTAAGTCTTCTGCTGTTACATAATCAGTTTGAAAAATTTCATACAGCTTCCAGTTCCCGCGACTGCATTCTTACATAACTAATAGTTAAACAAATATTTCTTTATTCGATTTACTTTAGTCTCACATTCATATATCCCTGTTCGGAAAATTATCCCGATCGATTGTCAAACCGCCTACCTGTGATTCGTAGACCAAATCCCCGAAATGAAATTATAAGAGCAACAGTTACATAACGACAATATAGTAATGTCCTTTGAATGTCTTAAAATACGCGCCAAGGAAATAGACTAGCAGAAGACTGAAAATAGCCGAGCGCGTCATACTTTACGAACGCTGTCCAGCCAATGGCATCGTTCCACATGCTCGGTCTCGACTCGTACGCACTTTCCTGCGTCGTGGCGCGACGTCCGTGACGCGCGTTTTTCGGGAAATAATGCGATAAATACGTGAATTGCCGTGACAGAAATTTCACGCTTTCGTATCGAAACAACATCCAGTGATAAGAAACAATAGTTCGTTTGACTATTCCCGACGTCTTTCTGGTATTTACATTTGACGGGGGGGATATCGTAGACGGCGCGGTGGCAACTGCGCTCTTGCAACTTGTTAATGGCGCATTCCGCGAGGTGGCGCACGTGCGCAATGATTTGCCGTTCGCTGTGTCAGTCTCACGGAAGGAGAGATTTGCTTAGCAGTTAGGGGAAGTATATCCGTTAAGAAAATGACGTGCGTCTCGAATTTCTGTGCCCGCGTATCGTGATACGTCGTGTTCCGGCCGCAGGACAATTATTCTCAGCGTCCGGCAAGTTTTTCCCGTGCCCAGTTCGTTTCTTCGTTCGTTTTTTTTTTCTGTGTGCTCGAGTGCATCTTTAGGGGACCTGTAGCTAACCTAAATATTCGGCAACCGTAACGTAATTTCTCTGTGACACGTCGTCAACGAACGCTTCGCCGCCGTTCCTGGTGAGTTTCGTTTCCCCGTTGGACCGTGTGCCGCCCCGTTCTCGCACGTATAGAACCAGGAAAACCGAGCAGTACACGCGTCACGAATTTTTCTCACCTCGACCAGGTTTTAACCTGAAACGAACTCTGCAACGCGATCGCGACAACTGCGTACACGCGGTACATGTGCGTGTTCTTTGTTTGCTCCTGCATATTTCTTCGAGTATTCCAACGCGACGTATTTTTCTGTCTTTTATATTGGTTGGGAGTTTTTCGTTTTTATTTGTACATTTTCCGTAACAGGAATTACTTGGATCGTCAGTATTCTGTAATTTTTATGGGATTTTAAATGGAAATACGTTGACACGCGTTTCTTCTTTTCTAGTCGTTCTTACTATTACTTTTTATTCTCATAATCATTTTTTACTTTTTCCATTTCCATTTCTATTGTTAGCATCAATTTGCCAGGCAGTATAGTGTGCTTTCTGATTATTTGTTTATTATTAAGAGATGATTCGGTTCTAATGAAAGGTATGTTCATATTCCAGAAACCACAGTGTGAATGAACGTGGACAACCATTGAACAGATACGATTAGTGACATACTAATAGAAGAGCAATCATGGAGGACGGCCATAGCAAAACCGTGGAGGAGGTGGTAAATTATTTCGACGTTGACCCTGAGAAAGGATTGTCTGTCGAGCAGGTGAAGAAAAACCAGGAGAAATATGGTCTCAACGGTAAGTAAACATAGTATACTTTTCATCCCATAATATTGTTGGCTCTTAAGTGCAATGAAATTTATATGTTGGGGGTTAAATACCTACCCGATACAACCGAATATAAGTTTCTCAAAAATTCATATCAGTTTTATGTTGGAATTACATTTTTTACTATTCCTACATCCATTACAATTTCAAATGAATGTTATAGTGACAGAGCACGCTAAACGTCGTACATTCGTTTTTACTGTATGCTATATATCCTCGTGATATATCAGAATCGGTACGCGTTTCCGTTGTGTATACACTTAATTAAACGTCACGTGACGCGTGTTACGCTGCTATCTGATGAGTAAATGTAACGTTACGAGGCTCGTATAACGCAGGAATTATGCTTTTGTACATCTTCACGGTACGCAAAGAAGCCTCAGGAACTTCAAAACGACTGTTTGGAGTCAACGTCGTATATATATTCGAACCCTACCATGCGTACGTTCTATCGTGCTACCTCTGTGATCGGTGAAGTTGAGTAGCACGGCTAAAAGTGACTTTATCGAGCTACTTGCTAGTATTGGTCTCTGCACGACGCACGACGTTTATCCCCACCCTTATCGATACCACTGGCAGTCCTCTGGTACACGTGTTCGAAGTTTTCTCAATGGCCCACATCAGTGATGTGCATTGAATCATCTCCTAGTTATTCAGCATTTTTTCCTTTAATATGCGGGTATACTCTTATTTAATCATTGAAGCATCTAAAATTACATTCACCTTGTACATTACAATAGAATTCCATGTATTGGAGCGAAAACTTTAATAATTTGTCAGAGCATCAGAACTGACAGGGGTATTACGCTTTTGATGCAACAGAAGTTTCCTGTTATATTTCAATTTAAATAACAGATACTTTTGTTTGTACAACAGCAACATTTGGAATTACTTGATCGCGGATATTTATGTAAATTCTAGTTTTTGTAAGTGGACTCGTAAAACTGAGTGACGGACAGATATTTTATTTTTCATTAATCGTTTTATTAGTTTGAACATACAATAAGATATACAAGAGTACTTCTACAAATATAATAGTATTTTTCCATTTGTCAGAGATTGCAAAGTTGGTGGAATTCTAACAAGCATTTCCAAAGAAATTATTAAAATATCGTCTGACTTGTAATCACGATCTAGCTGTCTGATAACGAGCACAAATAAAAACAGGAAAGTCGAATGACGACAGTATTGAACGATAGTATCGAAGTCTTAAGGTGCCCTCTGATAACAGCGAGATAAATTATTCGTTACATGTGGTACGATCAAAAATATTGTTTTTCCGTGTAACTTACAATGACGGAGAATTTTTATGTGTGAATTCATAAAATCGCGACCGAGGAACAGATCGCGAAGAACCATACAAGGCTACGCTCATTTTCTCGTTAGTGGCTTCATCCCATTTGAAAATAATAATAGGTCGTAGATTGTCAATAATGGCCTTGGATCATAGTATCGCGGCATTCACGGACGACCAGTCGAAAGACATGCGTTGCATTTCACCTGAAGTATCGTGGAAACTGTGCGGCATGTTGACGTGAAATCAATGAAATGCGTTTATTAAGAAAGTGGGATATTAACGCGCCGAGAACGACTCGAAATTGCCGATTAACAAAACCTGTTAACATTTCCTGTACACGACCAATTTTTTTTAATCCATCGCTGTTGTTGAATTGCACGATGATAGACGGATTTCTTTATTCTATTTTAGAAGGTTAAATAATTTTCATTTGAAATTTAACGAAAGAAGTGGAACTAGAGGTATAATATGGATGAGCGTATATCATACGTAGACTGCGAAATTTGTGTGTTTACTATGTAAAACACAATGGAATGAGGACTCTAACTATGTAGGATTGATAACATTTTTATTTCATTTCATTCAGAAGTAGATGTTTTTCTGGTTTTTAATTTATAAATCAAGGATTTAGTTTCACGAGTCATTTTAATTACATTATATACACAAACATATTCTAACTAGATTAATAACGAAATTACAAACAGTAAAATTAATGTTTATTTTTTTCGATGTTCAACTTTTTATAATTTATATTTTTATATTAGTATAAAATGTCAGTATGTAACTGACGTAATCTTATTAGTTATGTAATGAATAATTAATTACATTAATCATTTGGCACTATCCCTTGTTTTTCAAAAGTAGAAAAATATTGACTATAAACAGTGAAGTAATAGGCTGCAATTTCTACTTTAAACACAATTTCATGTCGATTCTCTGATACAGAAACCTTATTTCTGTCACTTTGACGACTTTCATTATTAAACTACTCAAATATCGTTATGTGCAAACTTGCTTTCTTACCTTTTATTTTTTCATAGAATTATTACTTAAATAATTGAAACAAAAAATACAAACGAATTGCGGTAGATTTCCATATTTAAACAGCTTAACCGAATATAGTTTTTAGGACTTGAAGTTTGTTGCAATCCAACGATCCGCGACTGAATTTATATTTAATCGTTCCTCAAACGAAACGTTTGATTACGTTTTTGGTACACGATTCACGGTGCCGTTATACCGATGAACGTCCATTCTTTATCAATTTTACGGCGCCGAAGTGATTCTGTCGGGCAATCACACGTGGCACCGATGGGTTTATTTTCGCAGGATCGACTGTATACTCGTCGCCAACATCAAATGCCAGGTACATAGTCTCCCTCGTTCTGAAGAATCACCGATAAACAATCCTTGTAATTTACGGGCTCTAAAACGAACGATATACTTGGGCGGATCCGATGGATCGTTCACGATTAACGGGGGTGTCCGTTGAAAGTACAGTAATATCTCGATGAGTGCGACGTACTTGGGTGGGTCTATTTCGGAGCATTCGTGGCAAGGCGGAAAGATTTTCAGCCCCTTATAAATTTGTTTTTTACCCGAAGCCTCTGCTGAGTTTCTGGTTACTCCGTTTTGATTGGTTCCTGAAGGGGAGCCCCCCCCCCAGTGGTAGGAATAACACTGTTGTGCGTGTTGCATTCATCAAGGAATCACTGTAGACGGGGTTTTTTTCCCCTCCCCTCGATTCACGATCCCGCTCCGTTATCGGTGAGTCGATCCGTATCGATGGACAGAATTTTCCAACGACGACGTGTTTGCCAGTTTGTCGTCGTCGTGTCGATGAACGTCAACTCGATCGACTTGTTTGCTGGTTCAGGCACCGAGCAATATGAGAAAGCTCCGGGGTCGCTTGCGCGACTGTCGCGTTATCGGTTGCCGATTTGCAACTACGGACGTTGATTATTAACGGCGTATTTCCCGATGAACGTTCCGGTATGTCATAGAACTACGGCCTTGCTGCTGTCGCGTTGACAGTTGTACGCTTACGTTGCGGATTTTTAATGATTCACCACGAACGCGTGACACTCTGTGCAATAGCTACTTTCTTTGGTACCAGTTACCTTTCACGATTCTATGCCAATGTGGACTCGAAATGGGATTTGGAGATTTCGAATTTGATTTTATTGTGCTAGACCAATGAGTAATTCATTATATTACTTAAATTTCAAATTTATTTTTGACTAATTCAAATTAGATTATTATTCATGGCGAACGCGTGAAGCTTTGTGCAATAGCTGCTTTCTTTGGTACTCGTTACCGTTCATGATTTTATGCCAATATGGCCTGGAAATTAGATTCTATTGTGCTAGGCGTACCTATCAATAAGTAATTCATTATATTCAACAGATTTCATATTTATTTCTGAAGGGATCGAAGTTTATGCTCCTACGGTAATATTCGTCCCTGACCCATTTTTCAGAAAGAAAATGCTCGATAAGTGTTTAAACGAAATTTTTATAACGTTTCTTTTTCAATAATTTTATCGTTGACCTTTCGAGTTTTCGATAGCAGTCGTCGAGTTGAAGCTTTTCAGAATTTTTTGCTAAATTTTCAACTAAATTTATAATTATTGAAAATTTTGGTGAGCTACTTTAAACGCTTTGCACAGCGTGATCGCGAGCTCTGCGAAATAGGCGAGTTTGGGTCCGAAGTATCGTCTTTCGTTTTTACGAAAATAAAATACGCCGAAGAACAAGTCCCATCTGCATCTGAGTCTGCCCTCATCCTCGAGATGGCTGGGACGCATTATTTCCGCACGCAACTCGTTGAACAGCCCTTTCTGATTCGGCTGTCGTCCGAGAAGCGGTTAGATCCGCCGTATTAATCGTTCGTCCAAGTGAAACGTTTCATCGTTAGACGGGGAGATTCTATCATAAGGAACCTACCGAGATAATCTGAAACCATAACAGTTCGGTGGACCTGGGTTAGGTACTTGAAACTCTTTCGTGGCTGATCTCATTTTCCTTGCTCTGTCCGGCTATTTATACCGATTTGTGGAACACCTTTCGGTCCAGGCTCGATTTCAAACACGGGTTTCACAGTGGAACTTCGATTGTCCAAACAATTTATTGCGCGTGCATTCTGTAATCTGTCAGGCGCAGCCTTTTGTTAGTGGCGCGAAACATTCTGTTTTCGCAGCGTGCTGGAGAAGACAGAGGAATAATTCGGATGATAAAGAAAAGTGGTCAATATCTGGGATACCGGGTTGAAGAATTGCTCATTAATAAAATCTTTTTACCGTTGTCGATCGAAAGTTGACATTTGGAGAGCTATTTATTTTGGGCGTGGAACAAAGGAATTAAAAAAAATATGACGTGTGAATGATCTGGGAAATCACTCAGGGATGTATAAATTGTCTTACTTGTCTGGTTTTTGTGCCCCATAATTTTAGCGATGTATATTTTCACTTGGCTGGAGATATTGCTAGTTCGAGACACGAAATGTTACTAATTTTATGATTGATTATTATTACACTACGGATTTTATGCATTTCTAACATATAGAACTGAAAACAGAGACTGAAACTAAAACTACGAAATACAATATATGTAATATGAAATTTCAGTCAGGTTTAATCAATTTCTTATGGTACTTTTGATCTAGTGATACCTTC